AAAACACGATCGATGAATGCCAAGCCAGGCGAGTACGCTGGCCTATGGGATGTGGTGAAGCATACGGCCAAATTGGGTCCTCTCGGTTTCTTTAAGGGCTATGTGCCGGCCTTTGTGCGGCTGGGTCCTCACACGATCATCACTTTCGTGTTCCTCGAGCAACTGCGTCTCAACTTTGGCACCACACCGAGCTAGCCGGGATCTCTATCGACTTCCTAAATAGGCAATAATTCTCCCATGGCTGGCTGGCAGATTCCCTTGAGCAATGCTAACATTCCAGCTGCAATTCGTTCACCACAGTACCGAACATAACTTAGCTTTAGCCAGGTATAATTCGTAACCAAGATGCTTTTATGTTAGCAAAATATTAAGTGTTAACGTTTCATGCCCGCATACCTTTAACGTGTCAGTTTTTATAGTCATTAGGACAAGATATTGTTTATAACAAGGTTTTCAACATTTTTTCAAACCATAATAACTGTTTTCAAAATATTATAAAATGGAAGTGTACCGCGAAATGTACGATACACTATGAGTAGAAATATAAAATCTAAACCTTAGAGAGATTGCGATTAAATATAGATTGGCTTTAAACATAATTGATATTTTCAAAACATTTACGTATATATATTTATAAATATTCGTTGATAAAAGTATGATCATTATTTTAATTAGGAAAGCAATATTCCCAGGATTTCAAACAGACTTTCAGTTATTAGAAAGAGCAATTGTAAAAAAAGATAGGGCATTGAATATTATTTAGAGCTACCCTCTTTAATGTGGGCATGAAAGGTTTAAGTTGAGCTCATTCGTACTTCATCGTCATTGCCGTGCTGTTAGCAATTAACTATAATTTGTTACCAATGGCTGAGCATCTGCTTGTTGTTGCTTTATGTGTTAAGACTGCCATGCAATAATTAAATAAAACAAAACCCAAACGGATTGCACTTCGATATCAATTACACCACATCTGGGGATATCCGGAACAAGTTCGTTTCCGGTACTAGCTGCAATTTGTTACCCCCCCATGCAGGTTCTTATAAACCCTCGACAGCCAACGATCGTGCATCAGTCGCCCAACCGTCGAAATGGTGATCTCTTCCGGTTCAGTTCAGCAGCTGGTGCTGCTGGGAGCCATCCTTCTGGCCATCAATCTATTTGGCGTTCAAGCAAGAAAACTAAAGATCCACAAGTTGGAGAAGGGTATCGAAGAGACCGAGTATCTGCACAGCCTCCTGCGCATCGCTGAGTTTAAGGAAAATGTCCTCCAAGTCAGTGGAGAACTCAAACTGTATTCGCCCATGGACAACAGTTGGACGGTATTGAAACAAAGTCTTTAATTTTCTTATGCTCTAAAAAGATAAAGAATACGCCTCCACTAAATTCCCCCCGAACACTTACCATTTACAGATCCGCTTTAGGGTTTATCGAGCTCCAGAGGAGGATGGGGAATACGAAAAGATATGGGACCTAAATGAAATGCACGTTTGCGACATCATGAAGTCCTATTACAAGGATTTCTTTTACGAGCAGCTCAAGGAGTACTCGAATGCTCCGCACCCTTCCACCTGTCCTGTGCCGCCAGATCACTACATCCTGGAAGACTATCCCCTGGATGTCCATCTGCTGAAGAAGATCATGACGCCGGGGTACTATCGAACCAATTTTAAACTTTCAAAAGGGCATGTCGCTGTGTTGTCATATACGGCGGAACTGGAAATAGAATAAGGTGTCCAGAAATTGCTAAATGTTCAATTTATTATGGAAAAAATAAATTGAAGAGCCTCATCTGCTTCAAGTCCTCACTGGATTAAACAAATTAAATGACAACTGGATTTTTGGACGACCCGCTTGTGGGAGACTTATACAAGACACATAGACTGCCACATTTTTTAAGGATCTTCCTTTTTGTAAAATACTGTTGTTTTTTTTTTTTACTTTCGTGAAAGTGAATAGCACACAACCATGTTGCCAGAGAACTACGAACTGGACGATTATCCTTAGGACTTCTATCTGCTGAAGAGTCTAATGTCGCCGAAGCACTACCGAATGATTTTTCAACTAGACCACGGTTACTCTACGATATTATCACTTATAGTGGTCCCATGAACCCGAAATTTTGGTATATGTTCAATTTATTGCGGAAGGAAATAAACCTATTCGTAAGACCGCATCTGCTTCAGGACCTCGTCGTATACGTATTTCCTAGCCTCAGTGCCCCAAATGAAGTCCAGATGGGCCCACTTCTCGAAGGGCACCAGGTAATCCAGTGCCATGTTGGGCAGTGAGTCCCTCAACTTGCGGACATCGCTCACATCACACATCCAGTCGTTGGCTCCGTAGTACAATAGAACGGGGGCCTTGGCATTCTTCAGCAGGTAATCCGGGGGGCTCAGGCTGCCGTATTCGTACGGATTACGCAAAGCCGTGTAGTCGAACTTGCGGAACTTGTTGGAGTTGTACTCCTGGCAGAAGTGCAGGTTTTGGTTCACAGACGCGCCAGCCGGAGATGTGGCCTTGATGTGTTCAAGCAGGTCCTGAATAGTTGAAGAAACAAGTTAAGTTTTGGATAGTCATTAAAATTTTGTGGTCAAATCAATACCGTACTATAAAAAGCAAGAAGTTATATATTTTACACAGAAAATTTATATAGTTATATTTTTTGATAAAATTCCGTACTTGTTAGGAATACTTGACGTGTTCGATTAGAGTTTCCGTTTTTAATATCAACTTTAAGTAATTCAATGGTAATAATGAAAATTTTTTGACCTGTAAATATCAAATTGATACTGACAAATTTTGTAATAATTGTTTTTGAAAACGAAAAAAACGGAACTAAAAAAATAAGTATAACTTCTGATTCTATGCTTATTCTCAAATAAAATTAAAAAAATAATAACAATGTAAAAATTTTTTCAGTTAAAAAAATGTTCTGTAGCATCTAATTTTTTAGAGGCCATAAGTTAAAAAAAAACAAGTCCCCCAGTTTTCAATTAAGCTCCCATATACTCACATAGTCGAGTTGCTCGGAATCGTAGCCTCCAATGAGGAAAATCTCGTTAGCACACATTTCGGCGAAGGGCGAAGTGGCCTGGCACATCTCGATGCCCATGTCCTGCTTGAACTTGTTGCTGGGCATGAACTCCATGGATCCGCACAGCTCCACGATGGCATTGGGTTGGCCCAAAATGGGGGCGAAGGCCCGGGTCAGTGGGCTCTTCATGTTGCCCATAAAGGCGGCGGGTCCCAGCAGATGGGCGGACTTGATCTTGTCGTTGTACTCGGGTCTCTCGGACACCATGACCAGGTAGACAGTGGTTCCCTGCGAATGGCCCACATATTGCACCTGCTTCTGGCCCGTCTGCTTCAGAACGTAATCAATCATCGCTGGGACGTCGTAGATGCCGATCTCGTTCCAGCTGAAGTTCCAAAAGAGCTGCCAGTAGGTGGGCCAGTACTTGTGCGCCTTCGAGTAGGTGTTGCCTCGGGCATTGCCCATCCACACATCGTAGCCGGCATCGGCCAGCATGTAGGCCAGCGATCTCTCCGGACCCATGAGCACCCAATCGGAGGAGGAGCTCAGCATGCCGTGCATGAGGAAGGCCACCGGACGGTCGGGAGTGTTTCCCGTTTTGGGGGAGTACGGGATGCGGTGCATGGTCAGGATGTAGCTGTCACTGGTGGTCACCACGTGACGCTCCATAGGATAGCCATCGTCCACAATGCGCTCACCCTTTAAAACAAGTAATTTAAATAAACGCGTACAATTATATTCCCAAATGTTTTATACTTACGCAATCGGAAATTGGCCGTTTTCCGGCCAAAACCAGGCCCAATCCGACCAGTAATATGGTTACTTTTAACATTCCTCCTCTCATCGCTCAACTGTGGTCCGAGTGCTTTGGGATTTCGGCTTTTATAGCCCGTCTACCATTATCAATATTGTGATAGGCACACGCCATCAGATTTATTGGCAAGCCCGTTCACAGACCCCAAGAAATCGGTGAAATATATAATAGAGATAGATCCACCTGGCACAATCAGCTACTTGCTTTGATCAAAATCGCGGGAAACCTAATTTACAATCTAAAAAAGCCCGTGTCCCCGCACAAACGAAACTCCTGATTATCGTTTTCCAATTATTTTAGTACCGGGTAATCGAAATAAGTTCGAAAGTTTATGCGTTTTTAGGTTTTGTTTAAAATCATTAAACCCTTTTAATATTTAAGGCAGAATTTCACTTCAGTATTTTTCTTAAAACTAATTTGAGATATGGTCTGATTTGGATTATATAAATAGCTAAATAAATAAAATGTTATCCGATTTCCGTTTTTTTCGTTAGTATTTGTTTGGCGAAATTACCTCACTATGATTTAAAAACCAACACCTTTTTGGCTTTCAGTTTTTAAATTATTACAAATCATCCAATTAATTAATAAAATAAAATAATGTTTTGAAAGAAAACGGATGGAATTGCCCCACTTTTTCTATACAATTCTTTTTAAGATTTCTGCCCACAAAGATACAGAAAATTACCATTATTCGAACTCGAGCCTTGCAAACCCATAAAACTATACATATTTTAACACCATAAAAATGCAGTTCTTTTATTACACTGACAATTTTCTTGGAATCCCAATGAGGGTACAAAAAGGTTCACTCTTCTTAATAAGCCATATCATTCTTACTAATATTTTCATATACGTAATTGGCAAGAGATAATTGTTAAAAATAGAAAGTGCGATTGCCAATGAAAACAATAAAATGGCTGAACTTTCGCCAGCAACATGTTGCTAAGGTTCTTAAATTTTCTTTATATTTTTAATTTAGCACTTCAGCTGCGCCTAATAGTTGGGTCTCCAAATCAGGGCAATTATGATATCGATTTATAGAGGCCACATATGATTGGTCTGCGAGTGGTCTGCAATACACGTATCTCTTTTGCTGGCTGCCCCTGACGACGTGGCCACAACATTCCCACTTCAGCCCGAAGTGATGTGGCCATGTCGCACTGGCCACATATGATAGTTGAAGTCATAAATCAGGCACGAGTGGAGCAACTTCTTAAGGGACATCCAAAATGAAGCACCAACAAATTACGGTGGACTATTGGACCATGTTAAAGACATCCGGAATGTGCCTGCTTCTGGCACTCTGCGGATTTGTACTCCTCAAGTAAGTATATTTCCAGCATGAATACAATTTTGAAACAAGTGTCTTCAGTAAATCTTACATATCTTACCTTTCCTAATATCCTTTTCTAATAGAGTAATGCAAATCAAGTTAATTGTTTAGATCATAGCTTTAAATTTAGATTTAGATTTAAATTTTATACATATTGAATCCCAACTTCGCTAATAATGCGCATATTTATTTTAGAATGGTGCAGACCATATTCTGGCTACCATCACATCTGAAGAAAAACCAACAGCGTCTTGAGGAAATGGCCAAGCTTTATGCCAAGGATATGGGCGATGATGAGCGGGCCGAGATCGAGAAACTCTTCAATAGTAAGGAGCCGTTGACAGAAGAACGCATTAGCCAATTGCTGGACAAAGCAGATCCATCCGAGCCCAAAAAGGAGCAGTAGTTCAAATAAATTGATTTTCCAAATAGTTTATATATATATATATATATATATTTGTATGTATATTGAGTGTATAATCGATAATTTCTTGATACAGGTTCTAGTTCTTATTTGCATATCGTATATGTAACTCGCAAAACAATCAATCATTTAACCAATCCATCAATAATGCATGAAACGCTCAATTATTCAGGGGGAGAACATATAGAGTAATTAACTATTTACGACAGTCGCTCGTCTGTGGAGCGTTTATAGCCATATTTTCTACTGATATAGGCGGACTCAGAGCCCTTTCCTGCTTCAATCGGTCGTCCGTGGCGGCCCATCGATTTTGCCAGCGACCCAACCTCAACCTCTCATTGTATCTAACTAACAAACTCATATCAAATATAAGCAAGTGTGCCAATTCGTATGCATACCGTGGACATACACATATAGATAATCTATTTTAATTTTAAAAGCTCAAAGGGGCGCAAGTCTCTCTCATCAGTTTTGTTTGGTTTTTGGTTTTGGTTTTGGTTTTTGGTTTTGGTTCGGTTACTTTGGGTTGTATTTTATTTTGTTTTTGATTTTCTTATCGTACTGTTTCTGCCTAACCGAAAAATATCACGAGAGTATTTTGCTATATTACACGTAGGCTAATCCGTTAACCAAAGTGGAAGGTGCCAATCGATCGGGTGAACTTAGGGCCGAGTTGAATCAAAGTTCCGAGAGAGCGCCTCCCCAGAGTAGCGCCGATCCGTGGGTATATGCCATTTAGCTGATGCGGATTATGCGTGTTAACGTATATATATATAGGGTTTGCATTAATCTGATAGCCGCCAATAAAGCTCTATTGGCTGGGGGTATGCATTGGAAGCCTGTAGAACGGGTTGGCCAGATTGACCCGTGCCGCCGGCAGCAGCTCCGGATGTTCGGTCAGCGTATCCGACAATGCGCTAAGCAGGACTCCTAGAATAATAAAAAAAAAATTCAGAATTAATTGAAAACTTTTTTAAGGCTTTTAAAATTGATCTAACGATTTGGATTAAAACGAGAGTTTTGCGGGATTAAAGAAACATGTAGTTGGGAATTAGAAGAACCATTAGAAACTAAATGACGTATAAAGTTGTCTTAGAAACTAAATAATTGTTACATAAAGTGTAAACTATTGGGTTTTAAAACATTCTTAATAGGATGAGTAATAATACCACGAGAGTATCAAAATAAAACGTATGTGGCTTTAAATAAGGCTTTTCGACTCTTCGGTGTTGAAATGAAACTAAAAAGTATAGTGGCTATATTATTTGGTATTGAATTAATACTAATACTTTGATACTGCCTGTAGTTTGTTTTCAAGACACACTTATTTGCATTTTTTTGGGTATACCACATGGAAATGTTCCCTTTAATTTAACAGCAATAAAATCAAAAGCTCTTTAATTAAAAAATGAAAACATTTTGCCCTTTAAATTATTAAGTGCACACATTTTTGTCGATATCGGAGAGCAACAAAAATTGGTTTTAAAAAGACTGCAACATTAAAATCCTTGATACTTTCTTTGTTTTTAAAAAGCTAACGAATTTTCTGATTTCGACTTATAACTTTAGGGGATAACCAACTCACTCAGAACTTTCTTCTGCAAGTCAATGGGTATAACTCCCATATTACCCTCGCGTTCTAGGAATTCGGTCAGCTTTTGAAGCTCCATTTGAGCCTCATCGGACCCATGGGATAGCGACTGGGCAAACATAACCTGGAAATGGTATGCCATAGATTAAAACGTATTAAAAGTTATAACGAATTCGATAATTACCTTTGCCAGCTTGTAGAGGATCTCCTCCAGAGAGTATTCATTGTACAAGTACTCCACAATTTTAGCCCGACCTTCATCATAATCATTTAAGTCTGTGAATTTACAAAATTAAGTTGTAGCTTTTTATAGTTGTTTTGTTTATGATAAAGAATGTTTCAATTTATTTGCGTAATTCCCACCTTGCTGTGCCTCGCTGTCCAGAACCTTGAGCTTGTTCCAGAAGGTGAAACTATCGAAGTTCTTCGCGGGCAGGACTCCTACTCCTCTGGCGTTCCCGGATTCGAAACCGGATTCGTGCACTTCTGGGAATGGTTTTTCTGTGGTTGTGCTTGTTGTTGTCGTAGTTGTTGTTGTGGATGTAGTTGGAGGAGTGGTATTTGGGGGGCTGTGGCGCTTTAATTGATTCTGGCGAACCTCCTCTGGGAATATTCGATTGGCATAGGACCGCTGCAGGAACTCTATTCCCATTCGAATGTCCTGCAGGAACTTTAGAGCGTTCTCCCTGGTAATCTACAAAAGCGTTTATATTTATTAAGTAAGCATGACATTTCACATAAGCCGCTTCGAATTTCTAGCCCTCGAACAATTTTTGTATACGGCGAAATTAGCCGAAGTTTGTACACCCTTGTTATAATTGTATCGCAAATAATCTTAACGAAAACAAATCCTCAAATATCGAAGTAGTGCTGACATGACCAATTGGTTCTTAGGGTACTTGATTTGTTAAGTATATTTACTGTAGTTTATATATTATATCTTATACCAGTGGTTATCTAAAAATAAAACGTAAACATTTCTATTGTTCATAATATTTTCATCAGAGTGTGATAGTATTACCACTAACCATACAACATGTTGTATGGTTAGTGGTATTACTTATACCATTGAGCATCAACTTGAAATGTAAACAAAATAATTACACAAGAAATACAGTTTTACTAGATGAATTGATGTTTTAAAATAAATGGCAAGCAAAGGCACAAGCAAAATTTATATTTCACAATAAAATAGCAACATTTCTAGTCAATCATGAAAGCATGTAAAGAACGCTATTAAGCTAAGTTATTAATGAAAACAATTTAGAAAGGAGTTGCATCAAATTATTGCAATATTTCTAAGTCTCATAAAACTTGCCAAACAATAAGATAAGATAATACATTGAACAACAGTCTTACGAAATTATTTAGCTAGCGGAATATAAAAGCTTTCGCCACTAGCAGTGGGTATTCAGTACGCCTTGAACAGCCAAACAGAGAAGTTCTCTAAATCAAAACAAAAATATAATTTACAAATTATAAAAAAAGTTAATCATTTGAAAATGGAAACTGCACAAGAAGACAATCGAAAATCCAATAAACCCCATGGTCATTATTGGCGTTGGCCTGTTGGACATCAATTGAATCATCATGAAAATCAACACCATCATGACCACCCCCACCAACGATCATTTGGTTGCCATCACCACCACGGACCGCTAAAATGCCACCAATACTTTGGACCTCCACTCATTAAGACCCATGGTTTTAGTCATTATTACTACGAGGCCATGAAAGACTAAGTATAATGATGAAATGGAACCCAGAAAATTAACGCTTGTGATGAAAAAGACTCTGAAAACATAAATGTATTATTGAAAACGGACCACGATAAATTGAACTAATTGGATCTCTTTTACAAGAATATCTCTTGTAACAAAAACGTATTTTTTAACAAAGAAAATAAATAAATACAAAATTAAAATCATACTGTTTTACCATATTTCAATCAAAAGTTGTCTGTATAACCTTTCATGTTTTAAAATACCACTTACCACCTTTCCCTCAACCAGTTCTTCCACAGCTTTTACCACAGCCGTCTCATCTCCAGTCCAGAAAATGTACTGAGCCATGTCGAACGAGGAGTACTGACCATTTGGACTGCTTAGCAGGTTTTTGGCGGTCTGAAAATATATATTGTAAGGAAAAGGTGTAATAATTGTCTTCAGCAATTATTTTAATCAGTGTCTTCTGGAGAAAGTGGTCAGACATTGGTCAATTCTATGAATTTTGATTTCAGGGTTTTTAGGTACAAATAGTCTTTAAAGTTTACAAAATTTTTAATAAAACCAATTTCTTTTTCAATTTTTCCAATTGTTTTGTGGTTTATCAAGGAAACAGCGGATTATAGTCATAATTTTCGTAGTGTTGCTAAATTTGCCTTTAGATGTCACCAATTTTTTGCCAATTTTCTAATTGTAGTATTTTGTTCTGATTTTAAATTTTGCCAATTAGTTGATTTCTTGAGATTTGTTATGCAACCATCTGTGAATTATTTGTGATTGTTTATAAGAACCTTGGCCGTGATCTTGGGCGTGCTGGATCTTCGCTCCGTGGTTCGGGCCACCACGTCGAAGACAATGTCTCCAATGGTCTCCTTGTTCGGTTCGTGATGGTTTTGTTTCGGTTTGGGCGGACTCAGAGCAGTCAATTCGGTTTCGGCCACTTCGCCGGCGGGATCCTCGGCCTCGGCTGGTTCTCCGGCCACATCTGGAGCGGCTGCCTCCTCTGTCTCGGCCCCATCTTCCTTAGCCTCCGTTTCGGCTGGTGGCTGGGAATCCTCTTGTGGCTCGGGCTCAGCTGGAGGAGCTGCCGTCGTGGTCGTGGTGGTTGATGTGGTTGTGGTACTTGTGGTCGTGGTCGTTGGCAACACCTCCGGATTTTGGCCAAAAGCTAGACGAGCCGCCCCGTAAAATGCCTGTTGATTTTTGGGTGGTTTCGTAGATATACACTTGGATTTGGCAAAAGAGGAGTTTGGAGTTTACCAAGCGGTCTAAGGGAGGATTGACAAGGGGATTTGGGGAGGGGCACTTACCTTGGCATGGGCCGTCGGCTCTACCACGGGTTTGATTTGGGTCTTGGGCTCCTCCAGCTGTGACCTCTCACCCTCTTCTTTGGAGGTGGCCGTGGTTGTGGTGGCCGAGGTGCTCGTAGTGGTAGTGGTCGAAATCAAAGGCGTCGCCACTTCCAACTGCCTCTCCAAGTCGGGCAGAATATTCGCATTTGGATTTTGGCCAGGCTCAGGAGCAGCAGCCACCTCCTCGACACTTTCCTTGGTGGTTGTGGTGGTGCGGGCGGTGCTTCCGTCGTGCTGCCGCTTGGCCACCACCGCTCCCGGTTCATTCCGCAGCTGGTCCAGTTCACTCACGTCGTCCTCGATTTGGGGAAAAACCGTGTCACTGCTGCTACGCTTGGAAGGATCTGATTAGGAAAGTGGTACATTATCCACCCACTCGAATAATTCTGTGGATTTTTGGTTAAAGGTTTCTGTGGATTTGTGGGAAGCATTTACACGCTTAAATCGAATGTGTCAATAGTCCTTGTACATCTACAGTTTACACTGTATTGCAATAGCTTACAAAATTTAGAAGACAAATTTTGTGGAATCATTTTTTAGAAACCGTAAATGCCTATTTAGTTGTTTATCTCGAGTCCTGCTAAATTGAGTTCGGGCCTTAACAATTTATTTTACCAGAAAAATATTGTTTTAAAGCTTTCTCATTTTCCAAATTGGAAAAAGTAGACAACATCAATGCCACAAAGAAAAATACAATCAGAAATAAATTATTTGTATTGTTCGTATCCGAAGATGGTAAAGATTGGCAGTACTTCGTATTTTAAGGATAACAGAATATAGTTTAATTTATGGAAAATTCTTTTGCCGAATTATTAAAATGAATATGTAGTTAAAGTCTAGCAAAATAATCGCAAACTTAGTAATCAATCAGGTTAAGCAATTTAATTTTATTTACGTCTGCAAGGGCATATGAACTTCGGCTTGCAAGAATCTTCAACTTATCCGGTGTAAATGTAAATTAGCTCTCAGAGGGAAATATGAAGATAAAGATGGGGTCAAGAGTAGAAGGGGGTGGCGGAAAAGTACTCACTGTAGATGTAGGGCAATAAAGCCGGATATGCCTGGGCCATGCAGATGCTGGCCAAAAGGAGGATGGCCAACAGATTCCGTTCCGCCATGTTGCTTAAGCCAAAAACTGAAAGTGACACACGACGTAATTCAGTTGATTAGCAGCCAAGATTCGATTACACCAAACGCACACACACACACACACACTCAGAAACACAAAGGGAACATAAAAGGAAGCGCAAAAACAAGCACAAACAACTTGGACTCAAACACATAAAGAGCGAGAGAGAGGGAGGTAGAGAGCACGCACATACATATGCAAATCACGCTAAAAATAACACAAGAAATCGATAAGACAACAACAAAACAGGCACAGTAAAGCAGTGGAAAATAATATAAACGCCAAGAAGCAGGCAACACAAAGTTACATGCCAACTTTGATGCGAAATGAATTGCTGGCCTCTGCCTCCTACACACACACACACACACACACAGTGCAAATTGGCCGTATGAGCGAATTATCGATGCATTCGGGGAACACTTAAGCACGTTTGGGAATCCATCGAATTAAAGGGCCACCGGGGAAAAGCTCAAGTATCTGCACTTGCCACTTACAGACCCCCACACACACACACATGCACAAAACAATGCAGTTTATCGAACAAATAAGACTCGCTGTCAAGGAAGGATCCGAACAATTATGTACATTTTTCGTATATTATAAATCTCGGGTCTAACAATCGACAAAACTTAAGGAACGGAAACTTAGATTTACCTCTTTGATTTACAGTAATGGGAAAAAGAAAACGCGTCTGCTGCGTTTGAGGAAAGAAAGTATTCTAAGCCGAACACCGTTAGAAAACGGTGGCCACATAACAAAAAGCTCTCTCGCACTCTCTCTTGCCGTAAAAAGCTACGAAAGCTTGTCTTAAAATAAGCGAACGATGGCGTTATTATATTGAACTATTTTCTTAACCCATTTGTAATTTTTAAGAAATTTAGGTAACTTCTATATAAATCATTAGATATATATTTCACACCAGCCATTTCTTGTTCAAGTTTTGGATTATTAATATGTAACTTATTCAGTTTAACAAATTCATATTATTCAAAAATTAATCCGACCCTGTAAATGTCTCGAACAATTAAAAATAAATAATGATTTAATAATTTTAATATTAAATTAAAACTAAAATCTGTATTTTTTTATTTAAATAAACCATATTAAATATTATAACAATAAAAAAAAACCAGAAAGGAAGCAAACTTCGGCGAGCCGAAGTTCATATACCCGGCAACTATTGCAAAAATTCCGGCTCAGGGTCGGAGATGTCTCCTTCACTGCGTTGCAAGCTTCTGTCTGAAGGGTATAAAAATCACATGGTGTAAAACTATTTGCGTAAATATAACATGCTCAAAAAAAATTCTTCACATTCCCAGGGAAAACTTTGCATACACCTATTTTAAATGATCGAACTGCACCATAAAAATCAAACTTTTCTCTATAAAGTAAAATTCCGATTTAATTTGTAAGTGTAAGAATAGGGAAATTACGCTTGTAGGAGTCAGCGTGGCTGACGTAAAAGAACCATATTTGGCAATATTGACATCAATGATAAATAAGACCTACAAAAATAAATTGTTACTCATCATATAAATGTATTTACAGATATGTATCATCGAAAATAATATAAATATGCTATTCTCCAAACTTCTCTATTCTCTATTCACTTGAAAAAAAAATTTAATTAAAATATGTTATAAAAACTAAACTTTTGTTTCTACAGTTAAATAACTTATCTTAAGAGAAGTCAAACTACGAAAGCATTGGCACCATAATTAATAATATTGTCAAGTATTTAATTCATTTCAAAATTTTGTCAGAAAAACCCAAACAGTTACTCATAACTGTTATTTATTTGAATATATACAGTGTGTACTTTCCAAGCTTCGAAAATAATTCGACGACGGACTATTTTGCATATTTAAGAATCAGTTTCAATTGAAGTCTTCTCGGCATAACATGTTTTTTGGAATTAGAGTTCATTTTTTGTTCCTGCTACAGGCTTTTGTTCTGGATTATTCAGTTGGATACTATGGTAAAAAGGACAAAATATCGTTGACCACAATTTACGTCCACAATTCTTAGTGATTTGAGTTGCAAAAAAAGAAAAAACAAACGTTGTTTTTTTCTTTTTTTTCGTTTTCAATATTATTTGAACTAGGCAAAATAAGCACAATTTTTATGCGAAAGATCTTAATGTTAGGCTGGTTCTTAATTAAAATGCGTTTAAGAAACTACTGATAGATCTGTTAAAGTAAAAAAATATTGATTTAATCTTAAACTTGGTTTCCAAAGACGGGTAAAGTCTTTCTAAACTGAAAAGCAAAAAGTGTACCAATACAAATCTTTTTCATCTCCAGGCTTTGACATTTGCTTCAGCGGTGAGCGATGCGTCGCATTGGACGACTGCCTTGATTCGCATAAAATTTCTATATACAATTATAATTTAAAGAGCAAAATATGTGAAAAAAATAAGATCTGCTGCCCGAAGCCAGGAAATATCCTGCCAGATTATATGACCTGCGGACAAAGCTCACCACAAAACCGAGTGGCGTTCGGCGCAAAAGCTGATATGAACGAGTTCCCTTGGATGGCCATGCTCCTATACCAGAATACCACAACTTGGGATCCGAGATTTGTCTCCGTTTGTGGGGGCTCCCTGATCAACAGCCGCTACGTCCTAACCGCAGCCCACTGTGTGGTCTCAGTAAAATATGTGCCAAAGGATTTATTGCTCAGGAAAGTGCGTCTGGGTGAGCATGACACCTCATCCAATCCCGACTGGGTCCAGCTTGCTAATGGAAAATGGATGAAAGCCCCCAGACATCTCGAAATCGAAGTAGAAGAGATTGTTGTGCATACAAATTACAACTGGCAACTGGAAAACGACATCGCCCTGCTGCGACTTGAAATGCCAGTAAGGTGAGTAATGATTCACTGACTTAATTGCTAATTTGTACAACTCTGATCGAACAATTTTAATCCTGCAGCTATACGAATGAAATCAGACCGATTTGTGTCCCAACAAAACATTTTTCCTTGAAAAACTCCTTATTGCAAATTGCGGGCTGGGGGCTCACGGAAAATGGACAATACAGTGAAGTACTCTTGAAGAGCACCATTCTTGAATCTCATAAATGTCCACACGAGTTTGAATACTTCCGCGAAACATCCCAAATTTGTGCCGGGGGCCAGAGTAAAACGGACACTTGTACTGGCGATTCCGGAGGTCCACTGATGGCCATCAGGGGACGCAGTTTCGATGAATACGTTTATGTGGCCGGCATCACTTCCTATGGAAATCATGGTTGTGGAGTGAATGTAAACCCGGGAATTTACACAAAAACTGGATTTTATTTTAAATGGATATGGGAGAATCTGAAGGCTTAAACTTATACTTTTAAACTGATTTCATCTCTATATAACTTTAATTGAATTTCAATGTTATTTCGAATTGTTATATTAACACTATATTAACATTTTTTTACTTTTAAACTTTTTCTACTGTTTTATTTAATAAATGTTCAATTTTATTTTAATTGTATTAAATAATAAATCAAAATAAAATTAAAAGTTTAAAAAAAAAATGTAATTGTACATTTCGATTTGTTTTGTTGCACTTTTTTTTTGGCAACGACTGTAATCTTAGCAATGTCGGTGAAAAGTGCGGTGCTATAGAGTATATATAGTAGTTTTTCTTTTTGTAAATACGATGAATGAAATTAATAAATGAAACGCAAAGCGAATATGCCAATAGAATAATGTGAGAATAACCGGTTAAGAGAAGATCAAGTAGCAGGGAATAGAACTATAGAACAACGAAGGCGTTGATGAGTGGGTTTGGCCCAGATAATAATTGCTGTTATGCTAATGGAAAAAAATATGGGAAAATCTCACCCCTATCTACGAGCAGTTGCCTTCGCCAGCAATCTGGGTCACCTTTGACCCCGCGATAGCGCTCTTGCCATTCGCAAGCGATGCATCGGGAGCGTTTTGGGATCGAGCTGCCAAAGTGCCGGCGTGCTTGTTTAGTCTCAGCTTGGAGCCCGCAGCGACGAGATGGCTTCTACGGAACGGAATTTTCTACTGCTTGCGCTGGTGGTCAGCGCATTCTCCGGAATAATCCAACGAGCAGGTGGGTGAGCTGTCCTTGTGACATTTATAAAACTAGTCGATGCTGCTTGACATTGTAACGCCGGATCGATTTCAAACTGATCAACACTTGGAGTAACAAAATTCGGCAAAAGGCTCTACAATGTCACATAATATTATTAAAGTTGATATAATATTTAAGCTATGACCTTGGTCATTTTGATCTTGAAACAGAAAAAATAAAAGATACTAAATATATAGTAATATATACTAAGCTTCAGTGACACTCAAAACTTGTCCTATAAAAAAAACATAATTTCATTAAAAATTAACATGAACTGTGCAATATTAAAAAAAATAAAATGGATTCAATCAATGGAGCAGTTTTAAGCGCACCGCCGGAAAACCGGTTGGACCGCATCGTAAACCGCACTCTTCCCTTCCAGACGCGGCACAGATCAGCTTCGGCACCTGCACGCCCCAGCAGAGCGACGAGCGGGGCCAGTGCGTCCACATCGCCAGCTGCCCCTACCTGGCCAACCTGCTGAAGGTGGAGCCGAAGACGACCGCCCAGCGCCAGCTACTCTCCAGGAGCCAGTGCGGCCTGGACAACCGGGTGGAGGGTCTGGTCAACCGCATCTTGGTCTGCTGTCCGCAGAGCAAGCGGGACGTCAACGAGGAGACGCCGGAAGTGGCGCTCGAGGAGGGCCAGCAGCCCGGAAATGTGCTGCCCGGAAGTGACGTCTGCGGATTCCTCTTCGCTGATCGCATTTTCGGTGGCACCAACACCAGCCTCTGGGAGTTCCCCTGGATGGTTTTGCTGCAGTACAAAAAACGTGAGTTCAACATTAATGATTATATTATGGTGACATCTCAGTAATCTCACTGGTAAAAAAACGTAGTAAAACCAAATATGTTGTACTCATTTTAAATATGTATTAGTTATTTCAAATATGACTATTTTCGGAATATATTTTAAACATCTAAAATGTAATTTATTTATATATTATTTATTAGAAATATTTGCAATTTAATAAGATTGAATTTAATATTACGCTAAAATGTTTAATATAATCAGAATTCAATGGTCAGATATTTATATTTACTATTCAATTTTTTTATCAGTGCAGAAAAAACTTAAATACTTTCCGGAATCCAACATCTAATCTAATGCTACTCGGGAATATTCAGTATTGTAGCTCAGTATAGCTGAAGTCAACAAACCTAAATATTTAATCACTTTATGTTATTTAATAAGTATAGTAAACCATTTATTCATGCATACGTATGTATGTATGTATATTTAAGACTTCAGTAAGAGATTTCACATTTTATGATTAAACAAACCAAAACAAGACATATTGCTTTAAATTAATATTTAAATCTGTTTAAATTATATAATATTTAATTTATACTACTCATTCGCGATGTTACTGATAAGAGCCTAGACTATAACATAAAGCTCCCATGAAAACAAATTAAATATAAAAAAAATATGATTTTTAAATTTAACTTTTTAATTTGTAATTTTTTTCAAACTTCTTTTCGACTTATTAATAATTTTACAGTTCAAAATTAATTATCGAATAACTGAGCTGTAAATCATAGACGAAAGTTTATCATAATTTTAATGTTTTCAAGAATATTTAATTTTTGCACTAGCTGCAAGGGTATATGAACTTCGACTTGCCGAAGTTAGCTTCCTTTCTTGATTTCAAGTCAAATAATGATATATATGTATATTCTGCATGTGGGAAGAAAAAAAGCTTTATCTTTTGAGGAAATGAAATGAGTGCGCCTATAAATAATTTAATATTCCCAGCAGTATTTTCCGAAACCTATTCCTTTAATTGCGGCGGCGCTCTGCTCAACTCCCGCTACGTCCTGACCGCCGGACACTGTCTGTCCAGCCGGGAGTTGGACAAGTCCGGCGTGGCCCTGCACAGCGTTCGCCTGGGCGAGTGGGACACCCGCACCGATCCCGACTGTGCCGTCCAGCCGAACAAGAAACGGATCTGCGCCCCCAACAGCATCGACATCGAGGTGGAGAAGTCAATCATCCACGAGCAATTCTCACCGAATTCCGTGGACCAGAAGAACGATATTGCACTGCTGCGTCTCAAGCGGAGTGTGAGGTGAGTCCTTTTGGTCCTTGGATCGTGGTATTGTCCAGGCTGTAATAATAATCCTCCACCGCCGACAGCTACACCGACTATGTGCGACCCATTTGCCTGCCCACCGACGACCTGGTGCGTAACAACTTCGTCGACTATGGCATGGATGTGGCCGGCTGGGGACTCACCGAGAACATGCAGCCCAGTCCGGTCAAGCTGAAGATCTCCGTCAATGTGTGGAATCTGACGACTTGCCAGAGCAAGTACACCACGTTCAAGGTGAATCTGGACGACACCCAGATGTGTGCCGGCGGCCAGTTGGGTATGGACACCTGCGGCGGCGACTCCGGCGGACCCCTGATGGTGGGCATCAATTCCGGCGGGCGGGAGGTCTTCTACATCGCCGGTATCACCTCGTACGGCACCAAACCGTGCGGCCTAAAGGGCTGGCCCGGCGTTTACACCCGCACTGGGCCCTTCATCGATTGGATACGACACAAATTGGAGGCATAATAAATAAAATTGCTAATTTATTCACATTTCCAGGCATTGGGCTAGCTTACAATAGTACGTACATGGTGCGGATCGGGGGACGGGGGTGGACTGACTAAGCTAAGCACTAGTGGAATGCCTACTACAACGCAGCGCTAGCATAAACGACTAAGATTCATGGCCATTCGTAGGCCAGCGTTCACAGCAAAGGCAAAGGGGAAAACAACACACATGTAATACAAATACAATCGCTTAACTTGTGTTTGCTGGCCTACACTGAGCACAAAGGGGGAGGGGGGGCAAATAAAAATAAATAAAATTGACTGACATTACGTGGGGCGGATCCATATACCATTTTGCTTAGTTGAGCGCTCTATATATATATATATGATTTAGCTTATGTTATTATCATCATCTATTTTTTGTTTTTTCATGGAAAACTAATAACCAATAACTTTAGAAAATTTCGTTTAACTAAATGGCTGATTGCCAGCAATACGAGTTGGGCAAAAATTCGAGATTCAATAGTGGCTCTAGAGGCTCTAAAACGCGGCCCCTTTTCCGAGGACCAGTTCAGATGCCCAAATCCAAGGCGGCAATAGTCTTGTGGTTCTTCCCATAGGCACCAATTTCACAGCACATGGACTGGGCAGCAGTAGGCGCGGCACTCAAATCTCCTCGGGAGCCGCACGCGGCGCAGTACCCGTTCCCGCCGCCGCCGACGCCGCTGCCGCATTGCCATTCCCTTTGCCAGTGGCCAGATTCACACCCAGGGCAGTCAGCTCGCTCTGAAGCTGACCCAAAACGCCCTTGACCGCTATGGAAAAGCCACGACTGCAGGGCAGCAGGGGGAACTCGGGCAGCTCGCAGGGCGCCTTGTACTCAACGGGCATATCTGTGGGGGAAGGAAGGGGTAACTTCACTCCAATCACTTCAATGAATCCAATGACTCACCCTTGGTGCTGGTTATGCGCTGGCGCTGGGCCTCCGCCGAATACTCGGACCAGGCCTGCATGCGGCCATGCAGCTCGCTGCCAAACTCCTTGAAATGCTCAATCAGTTCGTTGCGGAAGATGAGAGGCGGATTCTTCAGCTGATTGACCGTGGAGTGGGCTATTTTTATGATGGCCATCTCGTTGTAGACGCGAGAGTTCTCATTACCCAGCTGGGTGCCTGCAAAACAAATGGCAAACAAAACAATTTATGGCTGCTAATCCACACATCGATAGATAGATAGATAGATAGATAGATACAATACCTCGTTGTTTCTCGTAGCCCGCCTCGTTATAGTAGGGCTCATCGACCAGTATGAGACCCTGTATGGAGACGAGCACCTGCAGCATGGTGCTGGCCTCGGACCACACCTCGGTGTCGCGGCCCGACCAGGTGCCCAGCAGCGAGACGCACACCTTGCCCTCCTCGTACAGATTGGGATTGAGGCGCTCCGTGCAGTAGCTAATGTAGTGGCACACCGGCGGGCTCTTCGGATAGTCGCGGTCCATTTGAAAGTCGAAGAAGAATAGGGCGTTCTGGTAGGGAGTACGCTGGGGACCCACCATCATCACGGACATCAGATCCATGCGATCCTCGTAGGCCCGCACCACGACGCCGGCGGGCAGGGAGGCCTGCAGCATGCGGTATTCCCGCTGAACAGCGCGCTGATACTGCGATCTGTTGGCCGGCGTCACATGGACGCCGATGAAGTGATGGGCGGCCGGTGCATTCGGCAGCACTTGGAAACAGTTTTCACAAACGGGCGGCATGTCTGGCATTACGCAAGGGGAGGGCGATGAGCAGGCCATCGGACCGTCAATGGGTGGCAGGGACTCGGACAGGGCATTCAGATTCAACGGCTGCTCCATGGTCTCGTCCTGCGCCATCGGACAGGGGACGGCAGCCTCAGCGGGTTTTGCATCATGATCGGCATCCTCTATGGCTTCCTCCGCATCGCTCACCACGTCATCGTCCTTGCCATCGTCGGTTGGCAGGCCAACGGTTCCGAGGATCGCCTCGAAAAACTTGGCCATTTGCTCCTTGATCAAAAAGAAGAAGACCTCGCTGACGTCAGCATCATACTTAACCAGCTCAATGGTGCAGTCTTCGTGGCATAGCATTTTTATTTGGTTCGCCACCGACACCGCATCGGATTTGTTTCCGCTGTCTGGATTATTGAACTCTTCCGAGGTATTCTCACCGCGCGAGTGAACGCCCGAATCGTTCTGAAAAAGAATACAATGTAGGTTGAAATAGGTAATGTATCAACATTTATCATTTATCCTTAAAACAACAAACATAATTCAAACTTGAATTGACGAGAAGAATACTTACCTTGGTGCGATTCTCAAAGGCTTTAGCAATGCTGCAGCGTGCGGAGTTCACGAGTTCCGTGTACTCGTTGCGAAGCTTCTTTATTAGCTGATTGTAGGTGAGCTTCGACTCGCTTTCGGTGAGTTTGACCTTGGGGATTTCCTCCGGAGTGTCCTCTTCTTCCGCCAACTCTTCCGGCGCCTCTTCCGTGATCTTGTCAGTGCTCTTCTTGCACTGAACCTCGACCACTTTCGTGGAGGACTTTCGCTTGGTGGGCGTTGATGTGAGTTGGGCCGCGACAGACATGATCAAAGTTTCCACTTCTGGCCTAATTGTTGGGGGGGAGACCTTGGGCGTCGACTCTTCCACTTCGGGAGAATCGCCGCCAGTAGTTGGTTTGAAGCGCACAACATCTTGGAAGTGGTCCTCATGGAAAAAGTTGGTCTTAAGCATACGGTCCAGGGCCCGGCAGTCTTTGTACACAGACAACAGATCGTTGAGGACCGTGGGTTTGCGCTCGGGAACTAGGATACGGAAAAGCCTTTCCAGGCGCTTCACTGCCTCCCTAGCACGATCAATGCCCATTTTGATGTGCTCCTCGTTGCCCATTGAGGACAGGCTGAGGTTCATCCCGACACGACTGTGCTCCGACTGCGTCTCCCACGAGTCTTCGGAGCCATCCGATTCGTAGCCATCCTGCTCATCCTGATCATTGTGGTTGATCTCGAACAAATCCTGCGGATAGCACATGGTGATGTGCCCCTTGACCCACCAAACGCGCACCCGTCCATCGGGATAGTTGTCTATCACCTGGCCAGCAGTTGAGTCGACGTCCTTGCCCGTGAAGTTGGAAACTCGGATGACCATGATGCCGGGTCTGTACTGATAGTCGGAGTGATCCTTCAAGTCGTAGACGCTTAGCTCCTCAACCTCCTTGCACTTTGGACTAAAAAGCACAAAAAAAGAAACATTGAGATTCCTGTAAACCACTATCAAGTCATCTAAACCCACATTGGATTGTTTATGTCCGAGTAGATGTTGAACCACATGACCTTGGCAATGCGTTCGTCGTGGTCCACACACTGGACGACGCCATAGTCGGTGGCTCCTGTGGTGTCCTCGTTGGCCTTGCTCACAAAGTCGCCGGGAAAGAACTCGTGGTTGTCCAAATGATGGATGGGATACAGCTGGGTGGAGGGAATGTCCGATTCGACGGTGCCATCCTGCCAGACAACTGTCACCGAACTATACACGACCAGCGTTTCCACCACGATCTCGTCCCCATCCTTGGGTGTCAAATCCTTTTTGGTGAACGGCGCAGTGATCAGTTTCTTAACGCTGCGCATCTTTTTCTTCACATGTCGCCGCTTGGCATGGCGCATTGTGATCCTGGGGGCCTGGGCGCCGGCATCGGCATCGGCAGCGCCAGTGGCAGCGGTAGCGGTAGCGCCAGTGGCAGCGGCAGCTGCTGTAGAATTAGGAGACGGGTTCTGTGCATCTTCTGCGGCCACTGAAGGCTCACGTAACTGGACAGGCTCTTCGTCCTCCTCATCATCTTCCCCGGACGAAGGCAGCTCTTCGCATTTGAGCATCTTGAAAGAGTTTGCCTGGTGCATATGATCGCTTGCCGGACGGGGCAAACGCATTCCGCCAAACTTGTTGGCCAGGCGGCGGAACTTGGGCACACTGCGATCATTGCCACTGCTTGAGGCGGACGAGTTCAGCTTGATGTCCTTGCTGTCCATCTTTTTCTGAGCATTGTAAATGGGTATGTACTTGTCCGCTATAATAGAAGTTATGCATTTAGTACGAACTTACAACCCTTCTTTTTTTTGTTTATTAATAACATACCTTGCTCCTGTTCCCAATCGGTGTAATCAATTAATAAATCACATTTTGTATATTTGAGGTAGAATCGATCGTGAATTTGCAGCCCGTAGGATTCATAGATGTTGAGGCGCTTGACACTATTCAGCTCCTCGCCCTTGATGCTGGTCTTTGGCTCCTTCAGGGGATCGGTGTCAGTGCCATTGTCGAACTGCGAGATGGCCCGGCAAGTCCAGGCCACATTAATGGCTGTGGTGCGAATGGATTCCACGGTGTACTGAATAAAATAGCAAATAAATCGAGGGTTTTTAGAGACTTTGTTTTAAACGGGAAATGTACGACAACCTAATATACCCTATGTGACCAAAAATAAATGCATAATGAGTGCTTAACCTAAGTGGCTAGCAGCTGAGTAACTAATATCTATAAATTAGTGACTAGAAATCCCATTACGTATTCTTACCACGGCACGAGCCTTGCGATTGGCGGGCAGGGCAATCTCCGGAGTGAGATTCTTGACGCGATCTGGAGGCGGCAGGCGACCGACCACCACATTGCCCGGAAAGTAGACATTGGGATTGAAGACCTCACGTGCGCACTGGGCCACTGCATCCTTGAACTTGTGGAAATCGTTGGATGTGATCTCCAGACGGGCGCCATTGCTATTTCTGCAAAAGAGTGGTGTGCATTTGCATATGAGAAGATGGCTTACTCAAATTGGCAATCAACATACTTGAGCACGGCGCATTCGTCCACATTGACGGTGGTGCCGATCCAGGTGCCCAGGCACACGGGCACATCGCCGGTCCACTCTGAAATGGGACGCAGTCGCTCGGCGGGCACATTTTTGATGACCAACTTGGAGCCCAGCACGGTGACATCGGCGCGCACATTCACATCGCGCACATAGCCTGCCTGTCCAACGAGATCCTTTTGTCCCGGCAGAAGCCTTCGTACCACATCGCCTGGCATCAGAGTTCGATCCGCCAGACCAATCTGTGGGCCACATGTTGCGGGAGTTGAAAACAAGAAGGGGGGGGGGGCAAAGAGAAGCAAACAAACACGTGTCAAAAGAACGTGAAGAGCAAACGCAAAACAGTTGTGAAAACAGTTATTTTTTTGGGGAGCGAACCTTGAGAGTTACATAACCTCAATGGTGTTTACTTACCGATTGTTCCGTCTGAACCGTCTCCTTGCCGTCGGGATAGAAGGCCACCCGCACCTGACCCTTGGACAGCACCTCGTCCACTTCCTCATCCTCATCGGAGGAATAGGAATCGGCCGTCTCTGTGATGACGCCAAAGTGGACGCGACCCCGCCGATCGATGCGGAACACCTCGTCCTCGAAGAAGAACTGACACTCGTTGTTGCCCCCCTGATTGCGGGACGGCACCTGGCCACCGCCCGATCGACGGGAATGCGAGCCGGAATGGCGGTGATCCTGCGATCCCGGCGTCTTTACATGCTCCTGCGTGGCCGGTTGCTCCTCCGCCGGCAGTGATAGTGGAGCAACTACCTCCGTCTCCAGCTGCAAATCTGGGGCGCCACCTGGGCCGGCAGCACCCGCCACATTGCTCGACATGTTACCAATGGTGGACTGCGAACATGGAAGGCCCGAAAGGTGTATTCTCCTTGCTCGTTTTCTCTGAATTGGTCACTAACAATTACAGTTACCGAAGTTAACGCTACTAGCTAAATGGGTTATTTTTCGGACGACCCGGTTACACACACATCTAATTTATGGGCTGGACGAATCTAATATTTTTGCTTGGCCAGTTTTGCCAACCTCTTTGGAAAAAAAAAACTATAAATAAAACAGCCAAAAATTCTACAAACAAAACGAGAAACTCGGAGCCCCAGGCCATACGCCTACCAGAAAAATTATTATTTTGTGACTAAAAAATACCGGAGCTGGTTGAAATCAATGGTTTTGAAATACCATGAAAATATAGCAAAGACGCGAACCATCTCCAATAACAGAATAACAAAGCGCACTGCTTTCAAAAAAAAAATTTGAATTTTAAAAACAAAACCATATGATATTGAAAACTGTGCGCGGGGCACATATAGATAGTAAAAAATAAAAAGGACTTGAATATCTATATTGCGTTTCAGGACTATATTTTTTGCGAAAGAAAAACTTTGGAGTGACTTAAGCCCGCTTGAATTAAAAGAAGCAGACAACAAAGCAATATCAGTACCACAAAAACGGTGAACACAATGCAGATATTCATTTCAAATAGTTTTATATGTATTACACAGTTTTTCTTGCCCGAGCTGCCAAATAGTATTATTTATATCGTAATGGCAAACTCACCGCTTTTAAATTGAATATAAGGTGGATATAAGAATATTTAATGTTTCAATTATACTTCACAAAAATTTTAGATGTCTTTATTTTCAAGAGTTGATATTATTTGACAACAAAATCAAAGCCTGCCCAAATTTTTCTATTAAGATACATAATTTAAGCAATAGGATAATTTGTTAAAAAATTTGTTTATAAAATTACAATAAATTTATAATTCTAAATAGTTTCTACTCAGATTTAAGTCAAAAATTTAAACACTAAACAATTTTTTTCTAAGCATAAGTATAGACCAGTATTGGTACTTCAAAAATTAAATTAGATTTAGGACAGATTGCCCACGGACTTAATAAAGTTTTATAAATAATCGATGGCGATTCGCCCATAAATTAAGAACAGCATCAACATTTATAATTTTTTCATAGTTCGTTTTAAAATAAATAAAACAAATAAATAAATAAATGTAGAAAAATATGAGTGCAAGCAAGACGTATAAAATATGCAAATGATCAAAGCATCAATATAAAAACCAAGTTGCTACACAAGTAAACATTTTTACGGAAAATGTTAGTACTGTACAAAACCGATACAGAACAAAATACGAGGTTAAATTATCTAAACTCATCCCCTTTTTAACTGATTCCTATAAACATGTACGGCCAAGTGAATAGCTTCGTTCTTAAAGTATTCAAAATACGTGCAACACCATAAGTTTTACTTCTTTATAGGTTTAATCATCTATGTACGGCCAAGTTGGTTACCAAAAGTTTTGTTTATTCACTAAAATTTAGAACATTTTTTCTAATATTGCACGCTACATATTGTCACATTTAACTATCATGGGTGGGGCAAACTGGTGATGGCGCACACCGAAGGAGTAACCCGGTCCACTCCTGCCAGGACGATAGTACATAAGATCGTAGTAGTTGGGTCCGGGTCCGACGCTCTCGCCCGGAATGGCGGTACGCGGCTGCATCGAGTACACGGGGGCACGGTTGAGTTTCACATTGATATCACCGCCCCCATAGGCAGCAGGTCCCGGGGAGTTTGCCTTGTTGATCACCTTGGTTTGCAGGCCCCTGTAGAAGGAATACACTTGAAGAAAAGTAATCGCGATATAGTAAGGCTACTCACATGCTATAGCTTGGGACTCCAGGTCGAACCGCGTTCACCTCGTACTTGTAGGCATTGGGACCAGGACCCTCTTTTTTGAAGGAGAAGTCCGTTCGCAGACCCATTGAATAAGACGGGGCATTGACACCAGTGAAGAATGGCTTGTTATGGACATCGTGGGCTCCGGGACCGGGACTGCAACGCTTATCTATAGTAATTTCGGATTAATATCCATACGCGAATTCTTGAGCATCTCGTAGCTTTACTATTGCTTACCAATCGTTTTTGTCCTGGGCGAAATGGAAAACTCCAGGCCCTTACTTGTGCCGTACCTCGTTAGCTTGTCGACCCTGTAGGCTCCGGGACCAGGACCGAGATCCTCACCCACCGCCTTGGTGCGCATCCCGAAGGAGTACTGCGGCATCCGTTGTTTGCGGTTGTCATGCTTGTCATAGCCCACAGTGGGTGGCAGCATATAGACGCCGGGTCCGGGCCCTTCAAAGGACATGAAGGATTAACCTACCGAGTCACAAACCTACTATAGCCACTGAGTAAACATTAACTCACCAAAGGGTCGCACAGCCATTTTTAGTTAGTTTTTTCGTGCAATATTAGAAAAAAATACTGGAATTTAATTTTGATCTTAAAATATGAGGTGTTTGCCGAACGGATCCTAACAACAGATTGAGACTTCCATAGGCCACGACACATTAGCTGTTGGGGAAGTCGGATTCATGGCATATTTGATTGTAAAAATTTGTTCATCAAGCACTCTTTAAATCTCAAACACAAGTTTCGCGAAAAAATTATCAAATTGTTAGATTAATTACTTTAATAATTTTTAATCGGAAAATTGGATCATATATACCTAAGTTACTTGGAAACATTTGACAGAGAATTTAATTATAGGAGATTCTGGACTTAGGGGAATAAAAGGTTTACAAAAATCAGCTCCAAATATATTGCTTTAATGAGCCAAGGAACGCCTAATTTGGACACTCAAGGTTGCTTCAGACGCAGTGAAAATCTGGACAGATTTCTTTATTCCACATCCATTGAGTTGTACAACTGTTTATATCGAGATCCCCGTCCGCTGCTCTGAAGCAGCATATCATTGTGTTGCTCCCTCAGGGCCTATAAAATTATACGATAAAATAATATTTCTATTTTAAATATTAATAAAATATCCCACCTTTGGATCGTATTTCTGATACAAGTAAACCAGAATGGGGCCATAGATCATATTGAAAACGCCGACAATCCTCATGAGCCAAGAAAAACCGAAGCTCTGGGCCAGCTCACCACCAATCAGAGGGGCTAAGAAAGTGATATATAGATAGTTTAATATCCAAAATATACAGGGGACTAGGGACCTACCCAAGCAATATGCCAGGCTAACCGATGTCTGTTGAATGGCATAGACAGTGCCGTAGCTGGACATGGAGCTGCTGCCCTCGCTCTGCTCCTCTTGCGAAAGTGTGGCATCCACGAAGGTGGCCAGCAGAGGAACCAATGCCGCATCAATCACACCTATGCCAAGTCCTAGGGCAAAGTGGGGCATCAATAGTTGGGCAACCGTTGTCGCACTGGGTATCTGCAGAAAACCAATGAATTTAAGGATTACTATTACTTTCTTTACTCTTACTTTAAATGGCTTAATAATGATATTTTTCCTAAAACAAATAAATATAAAGGAAAAAAAATATAATGTTTTATTTATTATGATTTTATGATGATAAAAAATAGCTATATGCTATATATAACAAAAGTTAGAAAATAATGTGCTATAATTATGCAGGTATTTGCGGATTGTTTAACTACATAAAGGGTTTAATTACACTGACTTGCAAATTAATTTAAGTCGACAGAGATGAAAATTTGATTTTCGCGTGCAGATTTTTCTATAGTTTTTACCTGTTTTCTGCCTATTTTATTTTTTTCTCCTGCCTAACCGTTTTTGATAATTGATAGCGTATTTTACTAGAAATATAAAGTTATTAACTTTGGTTTCCAAATATATGTACAGTCGGCAAAAGTAAGTACACTTAAGTACACTTTGCACTGAAAATTTATTTATAATTTTCGTAAACTAGTTTTTCCCACTGTAGATGTTAGAGCTTAGCAATACAGTATCTGTGGATTGGCTAAAATTTAAAATAGCAAATAGCTCCTTAAATAAAAACACGCCTAAGAACCGAAAATATTATTATTGTTTTAACTTGAAGATGGTACCATCTCTCAAAGATTTTTTCAATTTAAATTTATATACAAATGTTATTTAAAACTTACCAGAATTGAGGCCACTCCCACGAGCAGGAGACTGATGCAGGACACCTTAACCTGTCCATATTTATAGGCCACGCTGCCGAAGAAGTTGGTGCCCACAAAGTAGCCCACAGAGTCCGGGATGAAAACGGTGCCCAGCTGCCACTTGTTCGGCTTCAGATACTGGATGAGCCAGATGGGCAGGCAGGGCTCCAGCATGGCCATTGTCGAGGTGGAGAACCAAATGGCCAGCACAATGGCCAGGATCATTTTGCACTCGAGCAGGGGTCGCCATTTGGGAGTTTCCTCCACCACCACCTCCGGCTGCACGGACAGATCCATGGTCAGCAGCTGGAGGCCCAGGCTGAGGAATATCAGCGTGGACAGAATGATGAACGGCGCCGACTTTCCCATCAGGTCATACAGAATTCCGCCGAAGGGATAGCCGAGCAGCACGCCCAGTGCGATGCTGCCCAGGATGATGCCCATCACCTTGGAGCGACGCGCCTCCTCCGGATAATGCTGGGCCACCAGGCTCATGCCGCAGATGTTGATGCAGGCGGAGCCCACGCCCTGAACCGCTCGGGCCACCAAAAGTGCCCAGTAGGACTCCCCAACGGCGAACACTGCAAAGATGTGTCAGAAAGTTAAAGTTTAATATGAAAAAAAATATGTTTTGTACGTATTCTCAAAAACTTTTATAAATGATTTGAAATTAAAAAATTTAAAATAAAAAAATGAAGAATCGCTTTATTTGAGTTTCCCCAATGAGATAACTACTTTTTAGATAAATATGCTTCCAGAAAATAATTAATAAATAAAATCTGCAAAACTAAATCTAGATTTTATATCAAGAATGTACATATATAAGCATTATTGGGTCGGAAACGCTTTCTTCGAAAAGGTAAAATTTGAAACGTGATGTTTAGTTTTTTAAGATATTCAATTTTATGGTTCCCGCAAATTGGGTTCGATGTCGTAGAACAAAAAAAAAACAATTTTTTACCACGATTTGTTAGGCACTCGCTTTAAGTGAGATATTTTTGTAAGTCTGTTGAGTTAGCCTTTTTTATTATATTTGAAATTTGATCAATTAGAATTTTATTTTTAATTTAATTTACATTTTTCTAAAGCTTTGAGTTTTTTTTATGAGATAGTACTAAAACTCATTATAAAATATCACTTATTAAAAAATGTATACGAAATAATTGTCAGTTGGGATATAGTTTGCATATGTTTTGACCTGAATATTCAATTATGCGCTTGATTAAGTGTCCCTTAAAGGAACAAAAAAACAAACTGGCCCTTCGGTGACCCGAAAATAGATCACTCACCCAGCGAGGAGATGAGCAGGAAGAAGGTGCCCACCACAATGGGCAGGCGGTATCCGAACTTGCCGGATGCGTTGCCGACAATTGGATTGAAAACTAATTGGACGAAGGCCTTCATGGCCAACAGCAGGCCGATGGACCCATTCTCCTGCGTCAAGGTCAGCTCCTTGTTGTTGTTGTGGGTGGGCGGATTGCCGGGTGCCAGTAGCTTCCTGCTCCTGGTGCCTGCTCCGGTCACATTAGTGCCGCCCGAATGGCTCGGGGTCGATGCGATGCCAGGCGTGGTGGTGGCTTCAGTTGACAGCTGGAACAGGGTGAAATTGACCATTGATTTGCCCGGAATGGGATGTTTGGAGATGTACAGCTGGGGATGGCCAGCGCCGTGGTTGGGGGATTCGCCGCCGCGATAGGCGAGCTTGGAGGATGTCTCCTCCAGACTGAGCACCATCACCGGCGACGGGGTATCCAGCTCCAGGCTGGCCAAGTAATCCGGCAGGATGGGCACTGCAAATGCGTTAATTATCGTTTATGGCCGTGCCTATCTGCCATTGATTTGGCCATACCAATTACGGTGAGCAGCATGTTATCTAGCAGCAGAGCCAGGTAGACAATCACGGCAATCAGGCAGCGGTTGGAGGAGCCGTTGGCCCCGGACGGAGTGGAGCTGCGTCTGCCGGTGGCATTTAGCTGGGCAGCCGTCTGGCTTTGCGACTGCGACTCCGATCGGGACTTCTCCGACATGACGAGCGCTCGTTTTTTTTTTTTTGCCTAATTGAACACAACAGATACCACCTAGTTAGGCTGCCATATGGCTCCGGATTCGCGCCACAAAATGTATCTACACTGGGGCAACAGGTGGTGGTGCTGCCACAACGACGTATGTGCGAATATTGAAAGGCGGCGACAAGTTGCCGTTCTATTTTATTGACAGCAGGCGAAACGAGCCAAACCGAACCGAACCGAAAGACCGAAGGCTGCCAGCTCAGATGGATCCCACTCCCGGCCGGCCATTCTATTCTGTTTGTGCTGAACATGGCTCTGGTGGCGACCTCCAAAAGGGTATGCGGTGTTTTGAAAATGTTTAAGACCATTTGAGGAGCAGTACATAAAACAGAAATCTTTACCCAAGTAAGTTTTCTTGGTTAAAATATGATTTAAGCTTTCCTAAAACAAATTCATAACTAACAACTCTTTCAAACCTAACTTTACTTTAAACTTTACAGGACCTAAAAGTAACAATAATAAATAAGCTTTTAAAAAAGCATTGGTAACCCAAATATTTTCAAATATTTGTGTGATTTTTATGATAAATAATAAATCATTGAGATTTATTAGAGAAAGAAGATATATATATCTATATTTGTAAAAATATTACTTTATAGATATTTTGTTCTTAATAATAATAATAAATCATTGCGATTTATTAGAGAAAGAAGATACATATATTTATATTTTTAAAAATATTATTTTAAAGATATCTTATTCTTAAATGATTAAGAATTGTTCTTTAAGTTTCAACAACATATGTATGGTAGCTATTTATATTAAATTTAAAAAATAACTTTATTAAAATAAAAATCATTAAAGAGCATCATAAATTTCATACAAGCTTGTCAGATTTCCATTCTATTGAACTGTTGATAGTTTTTGTTAACACCAAACTCTACCGCACACAAATAGGTTTAAAGCTCTGGCCATGTCGTGGGTGTTATTCAGTGTTATTAGCAACCCCTCGATATGGCCAGGATGCGGAGATGAAGATTAAATAACGCCTTAAAGACTCGCCAGAGCGAGTGTTTGCCTGTGCCCCGATAAGCAGGCTATGGATTTTTAGCCTTTAGTCACATTTTCCGTTCCATTGCATTTTTTGCTGTTTAAATTTAGTCCCCACAAAATTTGTGATGAATTTCCCCAGTACTGAAAAAAATTGATTTTATAAATGGCAAGGGTGGTGACCTATTTATAGCGAAGAAGCGGCACAAATAACAGAGTTGGCTAACAATTATTGCCTAACATTTAACCATCTAATAGATGATAGACATTGGTAAAGATTTATCAGCAGTCGTGATAACGCAATGGGACACCTGTTTTGTAAACTTGCCATTAACAGTCGATAATCTACGCCCACTTAAGCTTAGTACGTCGATTAGACTAATCTGGCAAATAATTCCATTTATATGATTAGATAGCTGACCCCCGTCATGAATAGTATTCCAAGAATACAGTAAATTAAAAACCATTTACATTAAAGCCATGTATATTTTAAAACATTCGATTTCACCCATTAACAACGGAAAATAGCGTACTCCTCGGCAGAAGGTCTTCCAAATCGCGTGACCTTGCCCAGATGGTAGGCAGCTGGTCCAGGCCCTTCAACTTTTCTGACATTGTTACAGGTCCTCGGACTCGTTCCAAAGGAGAACTGTGGGCTTCTCTGCATCCGCTTGTCGCAGTTCTTATAGCCAAAGGTACTGGGCAGGTTATAGGCGCCAGGTCCAGGTCCTAATATTGTTTATGTTTATTAAATATTTCAAAATTAAAAAACAAAATAATAATAATAAAAAAATTGAATTTACCAATAGATCTATTACACGACATGTTTTATTGATTTTTTTATAGTAAAAAAAATTGAGAAAATTTTATAAAATTTTGAAACTCCGCAAAGAGTTGTTTGCCGAACGAAATTGTACCAGAGAATGAGAATATTCAACCCTGTGACCTCACAATATATGTAAAAGTGAAGTCAGGGCCAACCTGATGATGATGATACTACTGATGCAAATCTCTGCCTAATATTCCCAATAAAGATTACGGCCATGTTGACTTAACCAGTGAACATAATCGCAAAGTGGGCTTATCGGGCAAACTTCCTGCCTTTGGCTTTGCCCCAAGTGGTCAGATAAACGGCTAAGACCTCCAGTTGGAAGTTTAAGTTTTCAGTCGACTGGTGGCGAATCGAGCGAACGGTCAACTAGGAAAATGTTTACCAGCCGAGGAGTCCTTGTGCTGGGCGTGTTGCTGCTATCGGCAATCGGTGAGAGGCCATAAACCTATAAAACCCAAACAGTAAACTGAAAATAGAATTGATATATTTTCTTGCAGGTGGCCGATCCGAATCGTTCCCCTGCAAATTGAGGGACGCGAGCCATGGCAAGGTGTGCGTCTGCACGGCGGACTACTGTGACTATCTGGAGAATCCTGTCCTGACGGACGAGAACGAGTGGTACCTGATCTCCAGCTCCAAACAGGGCTTGCGATTCTCCACAACCAGTGATAAGTTCGGCACAGGGAAGAAAGTCACGGTGCAGGATTACGTGGAGCAGGCTTCAGAGGCGGCGAATGAAACTATAGTGTCCCGGCTGCTCGATGATGTGGTGGCCAGTGCCTTTACTTTGCAGTCCCGCGAGAGCTCCATCACCCGCTCGGTGACCCTGCGATTGGACCGGACGAAAACCCACCAGAAGATGGTTGGCTTCGGGGGCAGCTATACCGGATCCGTGACCTATCTGGTGGATAACTTCAAGAAGTCAGAGCTAGGGGACCACCTCTACAAGTCCTACTACGCGGAGCAGGGATTGGGCTTCAATCTGATGCGCGTACCGATTGGCGGCTGCGACTTCGATCTGGAACCCTGGTCCTACGCCCAGGAGGAGGGCAACACCCTGCTCTCTGACATGGACGAGCTGGACGAGCGCGATGTGGCGCGAATGGGGCAGATCAAGCGCCTCATCGAGGTGTCCGGCGTGAAGAACCTGCTGGTCAAGGGTACCGCTTGGAGTGCCCCGCCCTGGATGAAGACCAACAACAGGTGGACCGGATTCGGACGGCTCAAGAAGCAATACTACCAGATCTGGGCCGATTACCACCTGCGCTGGCTCAAACTGATGAAGGACAATGGCATTCCCATCTGGGCCATTTCCACGGGCAATGAGCCACTGAACGGCATTTTCTTTATGTTTTTCGTAAAGTTCATGAGCATGGGATGGACGCCACAGACGCAGGCCGTATTCCTGAACGATTATCTGGGTCCCGCCATCCGAAACTCCGAGTTCAAGGACATCATCCTTTTTGGCAACGATGACCAACGCTTCACCTTTCCCACCTGGTTTAAAATGGTAAGTTCATCGTTTAATTTCCAAAAAGCACATCTAAACATAACATTTAAGTTAAAAAAATATTTATAAATATTATTTAAATATAACATTGAACTTTAAATAATTTTAAAATATTTCTTAAATTTTAAAAAAAATTATGGGGTCACCTTTGTTACTTTACATTTAAATAAATCATTAAAATGAACTTTGGGTAATAAATTACAAAGGTTTTAAAATTAGAAGCTTGAATAGAAAAGAAACAACCTTAAAATAGGCATGATCAACTTAGCGCCACCAAAATATCAAAGTTCAACTTTCTTATCGCTTATATTTTCAGATGAACCGTACTCGCCCTAACTCGATCGATTATCTAGATGGATTAGCAGTGCACTGGTATTGGGATGAGATTTTCGGCAGCAGCTTTATCGAGCAGACCACCGAGTATGCGCCCGACAAGATTTTGATCGTATCGGAGTCGTGCATCGGGGATAAACCCTGGCAGGCAGCTGCTCCATTGCTGGGAAGTTGGGAGCGGGCTGAAAAGTACGCCCGTGACTATCTGCTCAACCTAAAACTGGGCTTCCACGGCTGGATCGACTGGAACATATGTCTGGACGAGGGGGGCGGACCCAATTATGTGGACAACTATGTGGATGCCCCAGTCATTGTCAATACCACAAGTAGGAAATCCATTATCTCGTTAGTTAAATCCTTAAAAATAATTGAACTCATATCCGCAGCCTTCGAGGAGTTCTACAAGCAGCCCATGTTCTATGCCATGGGCCATTTCTCCAAACTGGTTCCGGAGGGATCCGTTCGTATAGATGCCGTGCCCAGTAACGTCAACCTGGATTCGGTGGCTTTCCAACGGCCGGACAAAAAAATCGCCGCAGTTCTATTCAACAGCGGTCGCGCCGATCTGGACATTACTCTAGTGGACAGTGTACGGGGCGAGTTCGTCGTCAATGTTCCCGCCAAGTCCATTCACACCTTGCTCTACAGCTAAATGTGTTTTTCGTAGTTAACTACAAAAATCAGAACAATTTTAATAAAATAATAATCTTGAACAAAATAACATCTCATTCTTTGACCCTTAAAATAATAACCTTAGACAAAACAACACCTCATTCTTTGACCCCTAATAAAAAATAATATTTGAAGTATTCTTAGAAAATTTTTGCGATAGCAAGCGGAAAATTACACATACAAAAATGATAAGATTTTAAACTTGCTTTGATCAAATTCCGTTTCAATTTGGACTTGGGCGTATCACTTTGAGGTGTTCGAACAGAAAAATTAAACTTTTTAAAATAATAATTTTACAATATTAAAAATTATACTTCTTTTTTGACCTATGAATATCAATTCAATACTTGCAATATTTTTTTCTGTGGTTTTATTTTGTATTTTTTTAAAGTCTACTTTTGGGCACAATTAAAAATATGTGCTCCTTAGATGAAAATGGGAATCCATTAAAATATAAAGAGGAAAACTATTGAGGAAATATGTGTCACTAATTATGGTTTTCCTGACCTTTGCATAATATATTAATTTAATCATTTTCTTTAATATAAAGCCGGACTATTTTCTTAGCAACTTGAGTCTTGACTGTAATATAAGTATTTTAAGTCTGATATCAGCCAATTCTTGCATTTTTCTTGCATCTGTAAAATTGCGATTTTCACACATTTAAGTCAATTTTCTAACTGCAGCAAATCAAATCTAACTATAGATCAATCAGTTGAGTACATAACATTGTCTAGAAATGAATCAATGGCAATATAAGTCAGATTTATCTATTATTCTTTGCCTTCTTTTTTTTTCCTTTGGACTTTTTGCAAAAGAGTTGCTTTATAAGCCGGATGACAATGTTCAGAAACTCGATTTCACAACATTTGAAACTCATCTCAACGAGTCAAAAGCGGCAAAGCTGATTAAATTCTACAACGGATTCTGTGAAGACACCCAAAGATTTATACCCGTGTTCAGAAATCTGTCCCGAAAACTTTACAATTGGATACGCATACTGAAGGTCAATGTTCTCGATTGCTCGCAGGACATGAACCACAGGATCTGTCGTAGTTTCAACATCCACAAAACGCCTACGTTGCGATACTTTCCACCGAATTACACTCGAAGCCGCTATGACCTGGGCATTGAGATCACCAGTCGGAATGCCAATGAAATCGAGTCGGTACTGGCATCACATCTGCAAAAGTTAAAGTACTTTAAAATGTTCGCGCGGGAGGACAATGTGACGTATATATTCCGGGACCACACTTACGTGAAGTACGTGGTTTTGGTCTTCCAGATGTGCATGTCCAATTTCTTTCCGCACTGGGAGACTGGGCATTCCATGGAGGAGAGAATTGCCCACCTGGACGATTGCAATGAGGACAATCCGGTCATTTCGGACATGGGAAGGAACACCCTGCTCGCATTGTTGCGCTATGATGAAGTCGTTGTGCGCGTCTTCGACGATCATAACATATACAACAAGTTTGGCATATCCCCAGTGCCGAATTTGCTGGTAATCGTGAATAGCGCTGGAAATCTTCTGTTCCTCACTCCCGAGATGGACACCAGTGAGGCTTATGTGGCTACCATCGAGCAGTTCCTAAAGTTTATGGACCACAAGCCACAGTCGCCGCTGCAAAAAACGCTGCCCACCAACATCAATGCTGCCCTGCGGACCGATATATTTGAGCAGCTTGAAAACCAACCGCATCGAGTCTTTCGGGCCGATCTGGAACGGGCAATTGACCACATCCTCAACGTGGAACTACCCAAGACACCATTGTTTGTGGGCAAAAAGCTAACTGTCCTGCGTAATTTCCTCAGGCTGCTTAACTACATAAGTCCTCTGCATCCGGAGGCCAAAGAAAAGATCACCAGTCTATACTATTCGATTAGAGTTAAGAGAAAACTTTCAGGAGTCGAGCTGAAAGAATTGATTTGGAAATCCTTTAAGGAATACAAGTTCCGCAGCAAGCTATATATTGGATGCATTGCCTCACGACCTTTTTTGCGCGGCTTCGATTGCTCGCTTTGGACACTATTCCATTATTTCACCGTAGAATCGGGCCACGTTAAAGATGGCTCCGTTTTGTTGGTCTTTACAGGGTATGTACAATTTTTTATGGAGTGCACGGAGTGCCGGAAGAAGTTAAAGGAATTCGAGGTACTTCGACCAATTACTGACTTGGCCAAGAAGGACGCTCAGATACTGTGGCTGTGGGAAGCCCATAATAACATCAACAAACAGTTGGCCGGCGGTTCTACTGAGGATCCGAAATTCCCTAAGATTCAGTTTCCAAGCGAAAAGGATTGCCCCAGATGTCGGGATGACCAGTCCAATTGGCGCATGGATGAAGTGCTGAAGTATCTTAAACACATCTATTGCCATGAGAATCTTAGCTGGTTCGGAATGGCATCCGCATATCCTTACACTTCATAATTTTATTATTTTAATTTTTTTTTTCTATTCTATATTAAATATTTTAGTTTTCCATTTTTGGATTAGTTTATATTATAAAAGCAAAGAAAACGCTGTCATAATTTTGAAGTCTAATTATATAATTTTTTAAAAATTTGAATTCGTTGTTTTTCTACTAGATAAACGATTTTTTTCAAATATTAAAATATCTAAAAACCTACACATAGACAGAATTAAATATTTATTTGCTGAGTATTATTGTTCCCAAAAATTGTTGATCTGTTGGAACGATCAGGATATCATGTCTGATATCATAAAGCTAACCATACGAACAATCGGAAAAGCAATATTTGAAAATTATAAGTTCCCTCTTTTAAAAATTGTTGTAATATTCCTAAAACTAATACTTTAGAATACCACAAAACCCCTTGGGAATAATCTAAAATATATATCCCTATTTTTCGATTGATTTGAATATACTTTAATATATAGTAATGATTTATTATTTCAGAATTAATTTTTTTTTTATAAACCATATCATATAGCTGTCATAGTATCTATGGAAAAATTAATAGAAAAAATAAAAAAAATGAATTTTAACAACCGTTGCAATATAAGCTTCGGTTTGCCTTAGTTGGCTCCCTTTATAATTGATAAATCACCCCCTTTCTGTGGTTCCCACTCCGCCTCTGGGTTTGCATAACTTTTACTTTTGATTGCGTGCGCCGATTTCCAAGTGGGATCGTCTCGACTGCCGACTGTACCTATTTGCCGGTCCGGTCTTTATCAAATCATCAGCTGGGCCCAGGTCAAGTGGCGTTCGAAAACATAAACATCAAGTTGAGCGAAATTCGGTGGCTTGATTATTCCAAAGCAGAGCCACTCTCTTTTTGAGCTCAGTTGTGGACGGGCCTTTGATCGAGTCGCATTGCTGCGGCGGTAGTGCCAAAATGAAGACAATTCGACTTTACTTTCTTTTTGCAGCGATCGTTATCTGTGCAGGTGAGTGAAAGAAACAATAAATTCACACCTACCTGCCGGTAACCGAAATTATACATAAGCATGTATATGTTGCAGGTGCTTCAGAAAATCAGATGCCCTGCGATTTGCGAGAAACAAGCCATGGAAGCGTGTGCGTTTGCAACAGCACCTACTGCGATTACCTCGAACAACCCGAGCTCACTGATAGCTCACAGATTGTGCTGATTAGCTCCAGCAAGGTGAGTCAGCAGGATTACCAGCACTCGCGGCCACAAGAATAGTACTCGGTAGCCTTTATGGCAAATAATAAATCACAAATAGGGAATCACTTATTATTTTAAGAATGGCTATTTTGTAAAAATATAAATAGCTTTTCATGTTTTAATTTTTTTATACACATTACATTTTTATTTCTTAATTATATTTAATTTTCTTTAAAGTATTTATTTTCATAGTTTGGAATAGGAGCATTCAAATCATAACTAAAATCATTCTATTTAGAGATAATTAAAATCTGTGCATCCGTGTTTTTTAAATTATAATAACATGTTATTCACAATTTTTCAGGATGGCTTACGCTTCAAGAAGACAACGGGTGATCTGTCGGATAATAAACCTATAACAGTGGAAGACAAACAGTTTACTGATGAGAACTTCAAGGCAGAGGCGATTGTGGTAGATCAGCACAGAGCCTGGTTGCAGTTGGCCAATATTCCCCAACGCCTGTGTAGCTATACAAATTAAAAGAACTAATTTTTAACAAATCTAAGAGTATTTATAATATTTCAGTTATCAATGCCAGCACTAGAACCGTGCGGATTTCCGTGAAACGAGAGCAACAATATCAGAATGTCAGCGTTTTTGGTGGAGCCTTCACAGGAACAGTGTCCCATTTACTCAAGCAATTGCCAGCAGAGCTGCAGGATCATGTTTATAAGTGGGATTATAATGTAAAATATCGAGGAGAGTGTATAATTACAAGTCATTGCTGTTACAGATCCTATTTCCATCAAGATGGCATTGCGTACAACACCGTTCGAATGTCCATTGGTGGTTCTGACTTCGATTTGGAACCCTGGGCCTATAATGAGTGGCCTCGCAATGATCCGAAATTAAGTAACTTCACAGCCCTCGATCCAAGGGATCTGCAGAAAATCGAGCAGCTAAAAAGGCTAAAGACCGTGTGTCAACTGGACGAACTGAAGATCATGGGCGCCGCCTGGAGTGCCCCACGTTGGATGAAGACCAACGATCGCTGGACAGGATTCGGGCAGCTGAAAACTGAATACTACCAAACCTGGGCTCTCTACCACCTCAAGTGAGCAAATGGTATGCCATGCTGTTGCCATTTATGAGGATGCTTGATGCTTTGCAGATTTCTCGAACTCATGCGGTCTAAAAATATGCCGATTTGGGCCATATCCACCGGCAATGAGCCGCTAAACGGCGTCATCGGCTTCTTCTTTGTGCACTTCATGAGCATGGGCTGGACGCCCTGGCAGCAGGTAAGAGCCATTGCAACTTGGCCAATGGCCATCGATCACGATTCTGGCTATTAAGCATGTCGGCATTTTTTCGGCCAGGCTATTTGGCTGAGCGACAATCTGGGACCGACCATCAGGAACTCGGAGCAGAGCAAGGTGCTCATCTTCGGCAAT